TTTTTTTAATTAAACATTAACACAAAAAATTCTGATTTAAAAAAAAAAATATATACATTAAAAATAAAAACATTAACACATAAAACAAAAATATTAAACATTAACAAAAGAATTCTGATTTTCCAAAAAAAAAAATATTAGATAAAAAAAAAAAAAAAAAAAGAAAAAAAAGTGGTAGGGCGCCTGGCCAGGACGCCCAGCCCCTGGTGGTGGCGTCTGCTCCGGCCGCCGGGACCAGGGGGCTGGCGTCTGACCTGGACGCCCAGCCACGGCGGTGGCGCCTCTGGAAAACGCCACAACTGTGGCTAGGCGTCCAGGTCAGACGCCAGCCCCCTGGTTCCGGCGGCCGGAGCAGACGCCACCACTAGGGGCTGGGCGTCCTGGCCAGGCGCCCCACCTCTTCTGGTTTTTTTTTTAAAATTTTTTTTTAAAAAAAAAAACTGCCACCGTGAGCCGTCCTTCCCTCCGCCGCTGTGGCCGCCAAGTCCTTGCCTTGCCGCCTCAACATTGCCGTATTTTCGGGTGATTAGAGTGTGGGTATGGGTTAGATTTTTTTATTTTAGGTTTAGGGCAATAAGGTAAATTCAATATAGATTTGTGGGCTTTATGTGGAGATTTGCGGGCGATGTTTAGTGAAGAGCCTTAGTGAACAGGTCTGCTAAATTCTCACTTGAACGTATCTGCAAAACATTTATATCTCCATTCTTCTGAAGATCATGAGTGAAGAAAAATTTGGGTAAGATGTGCTTTGTTCTTTCACCTTTGATGTATCCTTCCTTAAGTTGAGCAATACAAGCTGCATTATCCTCGTATAAAGTTGTCGGTGCCTCTTTCCCAGATGATAAACCACAAACTTCTTTTATATGTTGAACTACCGACCTTAACCATACACATTCACGACTAGCCTCGTGAATTGCTAAAATCTCAGAATGATTGGAAGACGTAGCTGCAATGGTTTGTTTCATAGAACGCCAAGAAATGGCAGTACCACCATATGTGAACACATATCCAGTTTGTGATCGACCATTATGAGGATCAGATAAATAACCTGCATCTGCAAAACCAATCAAATTTTCTTTGGACAACTTTGGGAAAAATAAACCCATATCCTTCGTACCTTGAAGATAACGAAGTAAATGTTTAATCCCATTCCAATGCCTCCGGGTTGGACATGAACTAAACCTTGCTAATAAATTAACTGAAAATGATATGTCGGGTCGTGTATGACTTGCAAGGTACATTAGTGCTCCAATTGCACTAAGATATGGTACTTCAGGACCCAGAATTTCTTCATCATTTTCCCGAGGTCGGAATGGATCTTTCTCTACTTCAAGTGATCTTACAACCATAGGACTGCTCAATGGATGTGTTGTATCCATAGAAAATCTTCTAAGAACCTTTTCTATGTATGTTGATTGATGCACAAGGATTCCATTCTCTAGGTGCTCTATTTGTAACCCTAAGCAAAATTTTGTCTTTCCAAGATCTTTCATTTCGAATTCTTTCTTTAAATAATTGACAGTCACTGAAATCTCTTCAGGAGTTCCAATGATATTCAAATCATCAACATACACTGCAATTATAACAAATCCCGATCCAAATTTCTTTACAAAAATACATGGGCAGATAGGATCATTCTTATAACCTTCCTTTGACAAATACTCACTTAGACGGTTATACCACATACGCCCAGATTGTTCCAATCCATAAAGAGATTTGTTCAATTTAATACAGAAATGTTCTCGAGAACTAGATTTTGCTGCTTCTGGCAGCTTGAATCCTTCTGGGAGCTTCATGTAAATGTCATTATCCAGTGGGCCGTATAAATAAGCTGTGACTACATCCATCAAACGTAAGTCAAGTCCTTCTCTTATTGCCAGACTAATCAAAAATCTAAAAGTAGTTGTATCCACCACAGGAGAATATGTCTCCTCATAATCAATACCAGGTCTTTGTGAGAATCCTTGTGCAACTAAGCGTGTCTTATATCTTACAACTTCACCCTTTTCATTTCTCTTTCCCACAAAAACTCATTTATATCCCACTGGTTTTACACCTTCAGGTGTACGGACTACAGGTCCGAATACTTCTCTTTTTCCAAGAGATTTTAATTTTGATTCAATTGCATCTTTCCATTTTGGCCAATCATTTCTTTGTCTACATTCTTCAATGGATTTTGGTTCATGATCCTCATTATTATCCATAACATCTAATGCTACATTGCATGCAAAAACATCATCGACGTCGATTTGATTTCGGTTCCATGTAATTCCAGACATGATATAATTTGTTGAAATTTCTTCATTATCAGGTACCTGAATTTCTTCTTGTATCATGTCTAAATTCTCTTCTGGAGATCCTTCGGAAATTGTTTCTTCAATTTGACCATCATCAATCAATGCTCCTTTTCTTCATTAATAGTACATTATATAGATCAACTAATAGTACTCCGTACTAAATTATTACTCCTACTCGTATTAATAATAAAGTATATAAAAGTAGTTGTCTTAAATGCCGGAAAAACTAGGACGATTGCTTAATAAGAAAGAGTGTAATTAATTAAGACAATTGGATGCATGAAACGTAGCTTCCCCTACATTATTATTCTTCAAAACACTAACAAGTTGTTATTACTTAAAAGTCAATGATTAATTAAAAGTCAAATTAGACAGTTCCTAACAAGTTGGTAGTAATTCGTCAACATCAACAGCTAATGTATATATACTTGCGGGTAGTGCAAGCCACAAGAAACTTCTCCGTAGTCCGTACTAGTTCAATTTGTTTTTCTATCACTCGTATTTCATTAATATAATGAGATTGGTTCAAGTCTAAGTAAGCTCATGACAATAGAGAGGAAATAGCATGTTTTGGGTTGACCATTTACATGTATATAAAAAATCATTTTTTTTTTAAAAAAAAAAGGCCTAATTTGTTTATTAATTTTTATTATACGAGCTTGAAGGATTTATTAATTATCTAGCTATTTGTAGCCTTAATTTCATGTTTTGTCTCCCTCCGTTTCCGAAAGAACGACCCTTTTGGATTTTTTTGCAGGTATTAAAAAAGTTAAATAAAAAGAAGTAAAAGTATATTGGAAATATAAATTTACATGGGGTTTGTAGGAAAGTAGAAAGATAAAGTATTAAAAATACATAGGGAAGCTAATTTTGCAGAAATATTGTTGTAAATTGGTGGGTATTTTAATGCAAATGGGTCGATTATTTTGGGACTAAAATTAGGCCAAAAGGGTCAAATTTTTGGAGACGGAGGGAGTAATATAATACAGATTATTCATTGGAGAATTATTAAAAAAACACAAATTTTCACATGTGGCTAGCCATACTGTGTGTCTGTGTGGCCGGGGTTACTTATTTAAGCTTATGATTGAAGCCTAAGAATATGTTTTATGCTCTATCATAAATAGTTTCATATATGTAATATTTTCTTGATAAATTATAGTTTCATATACTTAATACTCTGGAGTGTCATTAATCATTATCCGAACTTATTATTCTTGACTTTATTTTACATAAACTTGTTTGGACTAAATAAAGTTTTTATATCCCACCAATACGACCTATAGAAAAAATCGAACTAAATAAGACCTTAATCTCTCAGACCACACAACCTATAAAAAAATATCTAAAACCACACACTATAAAAAAATATCTAAACCACACACTATCACTATCTAAATCTGACTTATTAGCGAATAAAGTAAGGAAATCGCATACCCAATTACCAACCTTTTTACAATCCAATAATGATAATTCCATCCAAGGTTCTAAGAATAATCCAATACTTTAATGTTTAAGACGATAATGCACAAAAAGAAAAACAAAATAATTGATAAAATTTCCCCTAATATTACAAAAATAAATAAATAAATAAAATAAAAATTGATACACTCAACATTTATTTAGATATTTATTTTGATGGGGCCTAACGTTTCTTTTTGTTATTATTGCCAAAATAATTCTTTCTTCACAAAAGGTTAGATGCACTACCAATTTTTTAATGTTTTTTTATAAAAATTTTAATTTTATTATTATTATATTTATAAAGATAACGATAAGTGGATATATGGATTATTATTATTGTAAAATAGTGAAAATATTGGATTATTGTGCCTAATAATCTTTCATAAAGTTGAGAGAATAATAACATTCTTGTGAATATGTAATCTAACCCGTTCAATATGGGTTATCTATATTCTTTCTTTATCAAAAAGAAAAAGAGAAAAAAAAAAAAAAGTAGTTAGCACCCATTAAACAAAAAGTAATATTCCTAACTTTTCATATTAATTATAATGTGAATGCATTGATTTAGAGTGTCCTTGATTTAGAGTGTCCTTATCCAATGTCCAAAGAATTAGATTCTTTATCAATAGGTCCAGCCGCCACGTCTTTTATCCACCATAAGCCTAGTAAAATACTTTAATATTGTCAAATTACTCATATACATAATACATACTCACTAATCACTAAAAAAGTATGTATCTCGTATTTCCGTGACCCTATTATAACTGTACGAGTTGAGGTCTGATCAGCAAAATCTACTCACTAGTCACACACATCTAACGTCATTTTCATTTAAAAACAATCATTAAATATTCTTTTTTACGGCGTCCACGTAGTTATGTAAATCGCAATTTCGATCATACACCTAGGTGAACTAAAAAAAAAAAATATAATCCTTAACACCATAATGCCCAAGCATTATAATTGAGCGGCAAACAAGATACTAACACGACGTACATGTAACACATGTCACACAAACATTGATGCATATCGGTATACGGCATGTGTATACCCCGTCACCATTCACTCGAGTGTATCATGTACACGATACAATACGGATATTATATAATTTTGATGATATGCAAGTGTGTACTGAATTAATGAAGAATTAAAGCATATAGATGAAGCTGATATAAAAGTGGACCAACCCAAATATTTTCAACGTGGCTAAATATGCGTCAAACCGCGTAGCTAATAATCACGACAAAAAACTCTCCTACAAAAACCACGCTTCATACCCACCATAAAACCGCCATTTGTATTCCCACTTCAATTATAATTTTCTCTCTCCTACATTATAACAACAAACAAATTTCACAAACCCAGAAAAAAGTTTATTCAATCTTCAATTTCAATTCAATGGCAGATTTGTTAAGCAATCGAGGAGAAGATCAAATTATTATGGAGGGAGTTGATTATTTTGATCTGATTCCAGACCCAATTCTTAATTTGATCTTCAATAAGATTTTTGATGCGAAATCATTATGTCGATGTCTTCTTGTTTCTAAGAGATTTGCGACGATTGTTTCTGAGGTTGATTCAATCTCAATCCAAATGAGTAATAATCATAGTAATGGGAGTATGAATCAGCCGAAATCGAAGAAACCCAGTGAAGAATCTGCGAAATTATCAACTGGGTCAAAGAATTTTTTCAAGAATTCTATCTTTAAGTTCATCTGTAAGCCGATTAATCTTCTTCAACAGGCGATTTCAAGCAAGAAGATGGCTAAAAATGGAGGTGGGGTTGATATTATGAAATGGGTTGGAAATACTTTGAAGAATTTCCAGGATATTGAGTCGATTAAGCTCGAGCTCCCCTGCCATGGCGGCGAAATCGGGATCAACAAGAACATTCCATTGTTGAAATGGGAAGCTGAGTTTGGAAAAGAGATGGAGATGTGCGCAATTTTAGGGGCAACTTCGATTGTTGAGAGGAGAGAGAAAAAGGGGTCAGAAATTGAGGGTGAAAATGAGGTGCAGGTTTTTTCAGATGAAGAGCTGAAATTGAGGATTATTTGGATCATTTCTTGTTTGATTGCATCATCAGCTAGGCATAATTTGGTGAAAAAAATGGTGAATCAATGTCCAAAGTTAAGCAACGCGGTAGTTTCGGATGCTGGGAAACAGGGGAAGCTCTGTATGAATGCAAACCAGATTCAAGATCTCAAGGACTCAATCCAGATTGCAACAGTCAATGCTAGCAAAGGTGAAAACCCGGGATCGGAATCGGAATCGGAACCCGAAACCTCAGGTGAATCAACAACAGCAATGGCTTATGCAGGGAATTTGGTGATGAAAATGTGGTATGTCAAGGAATTGGAATTGCCCAATTCAGGGAAAGTGATGAAAGGAGCAACATTAGTTGTGATTAAGCCTGAAAAGAAAGGAAATAATGGTGAAGAAAAAGAAAAAGAAAAGGAAAAGAAAAGTGATGGAGTGAATATGTTGAAAGCTTTTCAAGGTGAAGATGTTTTTGAAGAAGCTGCAAAGAAATTGTTGAAGGGGAAAGAAAGGAGAATGTATAGATTAGAAATGAATTCCTTCTGAGTTTTCTTTTTTTTTCTTTTTTTTTTTTTTTTTTTTTTTTGGTTTGATTTCCATTTTGTTGCTAATATTTTGTTTTTAATTTTGTAGTTTGTGTATACATGATACATATATGAGATTAATTCCAACTTAGTTTATCTAATTCAATATGATTTTGGAAATTGTTACGAGTTTTTAATTTCAGGAGTTCGGACAATGTGACTACTTTATCCGAACTCTGATCTGAAGGATACCGAAGTATCAAACAAAGAGGTTAAGACTTAAGAGGGTGATGTAAGAGCCGTAAGCCGGTAACTAAACACTCTATATGAGCACAACCACTATAGCTATGGCTTTCCATAAGCCTTACCAAGGAACTCAAAGACTTGATCATCGAATCAACAAAACAATCCAATCTGATGTTTAGGCAGTAATTTACTACTTATATTGTTCTTGTAATTATACTCTGAATGACTAGTAGAAATGAATGCCTATCAACCAGCCACTTTTACCTATTTGTAGAGACGTTCTAGAAGTTGTCTAGTGAACTCCAAAGGGTGATGAATGCCGGTCTAGGAAGAATAAAACCTTGCAGTTATCTGCGCCACACGCGTAATGCTTAATGTGACATCTGACATAGACGATGTTGCAAAGAATAGTATGAAGAAGTTGACAAGGTATACTATAACAAGTAAATTTAGGAGTGGAGGGCACAAAATCTCCTCCACTTTGCTGATGGTATTTCCATAACATGATAACAACTGCTGTCTGCTGTAGCCAAAACTGACACCATTTTCTTACAGCTTACAAATTGCTTGGTCAGAAAATGGTACGATGACATTCAAATGTGATCATCTCAAAAGAGAGTCAGAGAAAGAGAGAGGGAGACAGGGAGGAAAGCTCTATTAAGACGTTACTTTGTGCAATTGTGCTGAAACATTGATCATTTTATTAATCTTCATCATCAAAAAAGGCATACAAATTTGTTTACCAAGACTAATTTAACCTAACCTAACCTAGAAGTATCTCTTCAAAACCTATACAGTAAATAGTCATACCAGGCAAAAATTCCATTTACAAAGTAAACTTAAGGAACACTAAGGAAAAATTACTCTCTGCAAGATGTATCTGAAAGATTAAAACTGAATCTGTCTACTTGATGCAACTGTAATCAGTAGTGCCTCCAATATTCAGAGGGATCACTCCGCATGCACCAGCCAATTACTACATGGCAGCTTCATCTGCAATATAAATAAATGGTCAATACTGATTAGCACCTTCAAAGATTCTAATAGAGTTTATATCAGTACGTTACTTTACAAATATTAAGCACAATAATTTCCTTACCATCACCACCATCACTCGGGTTGTAATCATCTTCATCATCATCAAAATTTTCACCCTGCAAGTTTTATCTTAGTCAGAAATAAAACTAACCAGGATATTCACCCAAGATTGTGAATCAGCTCAGTTAACATGCTTTTGCACAAAGCAGTAGTTATTTAACAGAAATCAGGGAAAAAAAAACAGCATTAAGCCTAAAATGCCATAATAACTCATATATGAGGCAAGCCATCAGATTTAGCCTAATAGCCAGTTACACTCTCCCTCTCTCACTCTTTGAACTCTAAATTCTAAAATAGAGAAGTATTTCATAGATATGCCAAAAAGAAAAAAGTTACTTATGTCAGTAACATTTCAGGTACACAATTAATTCTAGTTAACATACTGTACAATTACATAACCATCAGAGCCAAAATGTTGTCTACATTTGACCCCTGTTCATATAACTGGGGAATATTCCGATAGGCATTGAGTTATAATGTAAAAATATATTATTGGTTGATTCAAATTGAATTGAAGAAAATCAAATTAAAAATCAACTCAAACATTGCCCCCCAGTCCCAATCCAGAGCAAGAACAATGCAGTTAACCCCACATTGCCCTATTAGGTTTCACAAATTATTTATGGAGGTAAACTCCACATTGCCCTATTAGGTTTCACAAATTATTTATGGAGGTAAACTGGTGGATATAAAACTAAAAAAATTCTCAGCATGAGATTTGACAATGACAAAACCTCTTAACCAGTTTTGCAATATTCTAAATATGGGTTGCAATAGCCAAGGGGTTTTCAGGATAAAAAAACACCTGCACTCAACCAGTTGATCATATTACACCAATTGTTTTGGGACAATGGGCGGCAGTATATACATTCAGCTAGTTTTAGATAGAATGTGAATTTTTTTTTTTTTTTTTTTTTTTTTTTTTTTTTTTTTTGTTTTTGTTTTTGGAGTGTCTGAGATAGGATGGGAGTGGAGGACAGCAACGGATGGTTCTGATGTTGCAATGTGAATGTTATTTGTATCTAAATACTAATAGTGTTAGATGAAGCACATAGAAACACACTACGTTTGTTTTCTATAATAAGCTAGCACCCTATTATTGAGGAGATGTCACTACCATAAATGACATGCATCATGAAACTATCACTATAATACTACAGATTAAAATCTTAAGAGTGACAGATTTCCAAAGGTGACTATAGAAGTAAATTTATTCCCAAAAGGGCCAAAACAACAGAAAATAAACCGTTCAAAGCAGCAGTTTTGACAATAGAAGAAGTCATCACAAGGGTAAAACAAAGACAACAAACTCTAAAATTTGTTGTGTTATGAATTTATTAACTTACAACTCAACCAAATAGTTCAAATGTCCAAGCAGATGAAAGCATAAGCCAAAACAAGGCTTACTCATATCGAACAGATGGATAGGCAATTGGACAATCATACTCATCACTTGCAACTGTTGCAAATACTATATTAAGATTAAAAAAACTTAACAGAAGGATCAGAGATCTAAGAAACCAGTGTAAACTTTTTAAACTCGTAACTGCAAGCCATGTTATTTTGACTCTTGCATCCATCTCCATCCAAGTAATGGTCATGAACTCATGACAGAAGGGGAAAAAACAGTCATCTAAAGTTTTCTGGAGATCTTTACACATAATTTGCTCTCAAATAGCAAGAACGATACGTTATTCCTTTTTTTTTTTTTAATCTTTTTTCTTTAAATCAAAACATCAATTAGTGAATAAACAAGGTATAGATAGAGAATTGAACCTTTCCGTAATCATCATCAGACTCAACATCATCTTCTTCTTCCTCTAAATTCTCCTCTTCTTCCTCGTCCTCGTCACTTTCTTTCTCTTTCTCTTTCTTGCCTTTTGAGTCTTCATTCTATAGTCATCAAATCGAAAGGAATCATATAGTCATCAAGTATTACAACAAAAGAAGGGGATTCAAACAGAACATAAAAAACAGTGAACATATTTTATCTTCTGCAACTTTACATCCTCATTAAAAAATCTGAAGGATGACCCATCTTCAGCTTTTCAAAGGACATGTAGACAAAGCAGCAGGTCTTTAGAGCAACTTACTTCAAATTTCTTCTCAAGTTCCTCCAGGACATCCAGCTTCTGAAGGTCTACCATAGAAAGATCAGAGTTAGAAATGATTATACATCTAATGATAAGGGATTTGTGAAAGAGATAAATTCAGGTCCATATGCAAAATGTTCTGTCAAATTAACTGGCGAGACAGCCAAAAAAAATTGCTTTGTTGTTTATCTCTGTCATTTCATGGAACATAACATCACAAAGCCAATAGTCCTTAAAACAACATAGGGCATGAAGCTCAGGGCTAGCCAAGTGGCTTATGAGCAGTAATTTAGCCTAAAAGACCAAAAATGTCTTAAAATCTAATCACACACCAGTTACAACATGAACAAGTAAAGAGTAAGCTGGCAGAATCTGCAGAACTATCTTGAATAAATATACCTCGTTTTGGATTCCAATGAACCTTCCTCCTAGTCTTGAATTTTGTGCCTGAAATGATACTCTATTGTCAAACCACCTTTAGGGGGGTCAATAACAAGAAATTAAGAAAAGAGCAATAGTATTTTATTTTAATCAGCATAGGCACCATAAATTATTTGTCTCTTCAACAAAAGCTTCTCACAAGTTTAAACTAACCTCGAACAAGCTCTAGCGGAAAATATCCAGGTTCAAGTTTCAAATAACCAGAATCAGAAAGTGAGCACCGACCAAATCTACCTTTTTTCTTGACCTTATCAGAATATCGCTCAATGTCTACAGCTCCTTCTGCCAAGATGACAAACAACAAAAATAAGGATAGTTAAAATAGTAGCATGTAAATCTCAATAATTATGTTTAGCTGCAAAGAGTATTTATGTTTAATATTACTGTTAGAAAAGAGATATCTACTTTCCGAGAGAGAGAGAAAGAAAACTTAATTCTACACCTATGCTTAAATTAGTTAAATACCAAATTCAACACCAATGGAATTTACAGGATAAGTTCACCAGAGTTTACTGGTTTGTGTTGGAACACTCGGGAAGTCAGGAGGGACTCTGTCAAACAGAGTAAAGAGAAAAGAGCACATAACCGACAACACAGGTAGTGCAAAAGCCATCCTGAACAAACATAGCTCAAGTACATCCACGTTACTATTGTGCTTAGTGATCTTCAATAAGTTTACATATAAAATAACAAAACCAAACTGTATAGATACACACTATCACAAACTTCATTCTCCTTGACAGTTGACTTTCTGAATATAAAACACAAGCACGCCATTAAAAATAAATGCAGCCAGATTGCTTACCACCGGATAATGTTTCCTCAAGGTGGTACGGTGAGTTTTGAAAGTAGTTCCGAAACTTATAATTTCGTAATGCTAAATCCTTCTCTTCAGGAACATTGGTTCTGTCAGGCAACTCAATATCCTGTGGCAAATTTTTTAGAAAAATGTATTAAACAAATTAATCCAGCAGTGATCAAATATGAAGGTGAGGACTGAGGACAGAAATCAAGGATTTTAAGGAGTGATATAAATGTTAGAAATAAATTTCAATAATAATGACAGAAATATGCAGAACAAAATTTATCTTGTATACCACAACATCGGATTGAATAAAAGAACCCTAAAGTATAAATCAGTAAAGAGATACACACTGGTAAAACCGCGGGCAAAGTTACTGATAGATCCAGCCTTGTTCAGGAAAGGAATAAATTTTGGTAATGAGTAATTGTTCAAGTAATAAGAAGTATTAGTCTGTTAACCGTTTATGTTAAGGCCTAGGCTTTCAGAAAGCTAGCTGTCAAAAAAATTTCATGCATTTTGCCTCCACTCATTTCCAATCCAAATCTTTTAACTACCACTCAGCAGACAGTGAAGATATTTAAAAGTCCACTATCTTCGGTCATGCCTCAACGGGGAAAGCTCCAAAATCTCCAGCTTCTAAATCTAAATGATAACTTATTATCCGGGGTCATTCCAACCTCAATTGGAAACTTAACCAAGTTGTCAATGCTCTCCTTGTATAATAATAGCCTTGAAGGCCAAATACCTCCAAATCTTGAAAATTGTAGGTCACAAATATGATTATTGCTGTGTGATAACAAATCTCACCGGTAGTAAACCCTCACAACTCTACAACATTCTCTCCTCAACTATTGCACTCTCTCTACATGGAAAACACTTAATTGGATCTCTCTCTGAGGAAGTTGGACAATCGAAAAACCTTGGAGCCCTTGATGTATCTGGTGACAGGCTATCAGGTGAGATACCACACTCTCTTGGAAGTTGCCTATCATTAGAGCTCCTAGGCACGGATGAAAACAGATTCCAAGGCACTATTCCTAATGAACTGCAGAAATTAGCTGGTCTCCTAGAGATAGATTTGTCATACAACCATTTATCTGGCAAAATTCCAAAATTTTTAGCAAGCCTCAATTTGAGGAGGCTAAACCTATCATACAACAACCTTGAAGGTGAAGTACTAATCGGTGGAGTCTTCAGCAACGCAAAAAATCTTTCCATCATTGGAAACAATAGAATTTGCGGAGGCAAATCAGTCTTAAAATTGCCACACTGCAAATTTAGCAACACCAACAAGAAGAGAAGATTGATGAACAAAAAGAAGTTGACAGTTGCAATTCTTTCAGCAATTTTGGGAGTGGTTTTACTAGTTGTTATACTTGTGGTATCATACATTTGCTGGTTTAAAAGGAAGCCTAAGGAACCCATCTTCTAGTGATTCAGATAATTTCCAGAATTTGTCATATCAAATCCTTCTTAAATCAACTAATGGATTCTTCTCTGGAAATTTAATCGGCACTGGTTCATTTGGGATCGTATACAAAGGAATTATCTTGAAGAGGATGGATCAGCAGTGGCCATCAAGATATTTAACCTTGAAAATCGTGGTGCTTCCAAGAGTTTTTTGGCTGAATGTAGCGTCCTCAGAAGCATAAGACATCGGAATCTTGTGAAGGTAATAACAGTTTGTTCAAGTGTTGATTATCAAGGCAAAGATTTCAAGGCTTTGGTTTTTGAGTATATTGTGAATAGGAGTTTAGACAATTGGTTCCATCCAACTGAGGCAATCACTAGAGCTGATGGCACAAATGATACCTCAAGGAATTTGAACTTTAGCCAAAGACTTTATATTGCAATTGAGGTTGCATTTGCTTTGGATTATCTTCACCACCATTGTGGCACCTCCATAGTTCATTGCGACCTCAAGCCGAGCAATATTATCTTTGATGAAAATATGGTTGCACATGTAGGAGACTTTGGCCTTGCCAAGTTTCTCTTGAAAGGCATCACAAGCCAATCAATCTACCTCTATTGGAGTAAGAGGTACCATTGGTTACACTCCTCCAGGTATTAACTAGTGTTCTTATACCTATCTCTAAAAATATATAATCTACCTGTACTGTAGTGATCCTATTTAAGCTACTGTAGCAAACATTTAACATATGATTAAATGTTAGTTCAATTATAACATAGGAGGCACTACATGCAGAATATGGTGTGGGAAATGAGGTGTTTACCAGAGGTGATGTCTATAGTTTTGGAATCCTATTACTTGAAATAATTACTAGAAAGAGGCCTACAAACGACATGTTCAAGGGGGGCCTAAGCTTGCATTGCTTCGTCAAAGAAGCTCTATCTGAAAATGTTATCGAAATTTTAAATCATGTCCTTGTTGATGAAATAGACCATGAGGAAACAGACAGGCGAGACAGCACCTTGATGTTGGAGGCCCTAACTTCTATACTTGGAATAGCAATTTCTTGCTCAGCTGAGGTCCCAAGAGAAAGGTTGGACATAAGTGATGTAGCTAAAAAGCTATCATCAATCAGAAACAAGCTCCTTGAACTCGTTTACAACAAAGGAGGAGAATTCGAACAGGTAATGTTTAAAGTATGTTTCCTCACAAATGAAAATATAACGAGAAATTGCAGGATTACTTCTTCAACTACATCTCTAGCTGAGGTTTAGTGAAATTTTTATATCAGATTTTAACGCTTTAATCTTCTGGGTGCAGGAACACAAAAATGATCAATGTCTAAATAATGTTAGTGTCAAACAATAATTAAGAGTGAAAGTTCCCCTAATTAAGAATGTAGTGGTACACATAAACACTTAACCAAAATCACTACACTACCATCAGTTAAAAGATATTATCTCAGCCTAAATTTGATGAGCTTGAGCAAGTGCACTTTACCATTGCCACAAATAATAGATCCGATTGAAGACAATACAAGACAAACGGCCTGATGTTTACCAACAGATTGTCCAACACAAGAGATTACAACTTCCAAGGTTCAACTTAGCATATATTCCTGTATGTTGATAATATCCTTACAAAATATATACGACCAACTACAAGTCAAAAACATCTTCAACAAGTCCAACTTGAAACACATTTCCTCTACCCTCTCTTCTAAAAAGGAAAACAAAATTGTGGTCTGCGTTTTCTCCAGTATTGATTAAGGGAACAGCCACGTATGTGAGTCATACCTCTAGTGAGACTAGACTGGAACAGGGCAATTATGAAGGTTTCAAGTAATCAAATTCATAGAATAATTTGTTTTCTCCTACAACAACGACGACGACAACAACAAAGCCTTAGTCCTGAAATGAATCGGGTTCCGCTAACATAAACCAAATAATCAGGTTCCTTGTACAAAGAAAAAAGCTGGCAAAGTTGCATTACAACAGTTGTTAAGTGCAAATTTTGGCATCCAACATCAAAACAATGAAAAATGATAAAATTGGGTGAAATTATATACTAACCGGAAAAAGTACAAAAGATGTTTGCTTGGCAAACTTGAAGTCACTTCCACCAAATCCTCTCCCACGTCCTCTACCTCTAAATGCCATCTATATAACAGCAGTGGCGGATCCAAGATTTCGGAGCTAGTGAGTCACCCTGAATTTGATGACCTGTAAAAGTACCAAAAAAATTTTGAATCCATCGTTTCGGAGCTTTGTGGCATCTTATCAAAAACCCGACGAGCTTTCTCTAAAAACCCAAAACTCACATACATGTAAAGCAAATTGTTATGAGAAAACCCATCATTTAAAAACCCAAATTTGACAACATGGGCATGAATTTGCTTGCCTTCTAAAATCTAATTATCAATGCGACAAGCTCTAACAAGAGAAGGAAACGTGAAATTGTTAGGCAAAACAGAGTCCTGCAAACATTCGTAAGTACAAAATCAAGCATTCCCTATCCAAATAGCATTGCAAACAAGTAAATAACCCCTGATTAAGGTGTTGTTGGGGCATTTTATCAAATAGTTGGTGGGCATAAACCAAATCACCAGATTCCAACAAAGCACAAAACTTGATAGCTCTACCCATTACATCAAAGTATGAAACAATAAGTTCAATAACCAACTAATCAAGACTACAAAGCAGCAATTTTACCAAATAAAATTGAATTCAATATAACATTTCAACACCACAATGAACACATTGAACAACCTTGTCAAAGTACTGTCAAGATTATGAAATAATAAAAGGCTAAAATTATAATTAATTAAGTAATAACACAATAATGAACAATTTAATCAATCAAATGAGTGAAATTATACATAATTAAAATTAAAACTAAATAACAATTTAAATAGTTGATAATTTAAATTTTAATACAATAATACCTTGCTCAGTTACTCTGCTTCAATCGGTGGTCACTCACTCACTCGGTCACTCCGGTCGGACTTTGAGAGGTCGCCGATCGAAATGATGTGAGAGAGACAGAGAGGGAGTTAGGGTTTAATTCAAGGGAATTAGGGTTTAACATCAAGAAAAAAAAAAAAATACTGCTAATTTAGTTTCAAAATACGAGCTTTAATCTAACAAATTCCACTAAATCTCACATAATTTAAGGGTTTTGCACCACATTAAAAACTAAATTTGACGAGTAAAGTATATTACTAGGGTCCAAACTTTGCCAAAATGTAAGTTTAGGGGACTCACCTTTCAAATGTTTGAAAGAGGGGACTCCAAGCTGACCTTCAGTAACCGGTTACAAAGCTAATTATAATTTTATTTTTATTTTTCTTTTTTTCCTCTAAATCACTGAAAGTTCATTTCATTGGGAAACATAAAAATTGTTGATAAACAAAAGTAATTCATTTGCACACAACCACCATGAGCTATTACCCATACCACCCTACACCCATCAAACCCTGTCAACACCACAAACCACCACCACCCGAACCCCAAACGACCCACAAATCCTAAAATCCAGCCGCCAAACTTACCTTACAAAACTTCAATTATGGTTTTCTTTGATTTTCTCTGAAAATGCAATAGTGGGAATCATAAAGGTGATAGAGAAGGGGAATTTAATTTGGGAATGAATCCCGTAACGGCTGAGCAATTACCGCCGCCGCCACAACCACCGCATCCCCACCTGAAGTCAAAACCTACCAAATAATGGGTCCGCGTTATGAGGTAGGCCGAGTTCGAGTTCTTTGTTATCGGAGCCTCCAACAAAATTTCCACAATTCAAGCAACAAACTATAGATCTAGATTTTTCAAAGTTAAATTTAACTATCAAAACCTCACAATTTAGAGCTTTATTGGTGGTAATGAATTGAAAAAAAGGAGTAGAGAAAGTAACAATAATGAGAAATACCGAAATGGTGAGGTTGAACGGGGCGGGGTTACGAGCGGTGGCGCAACGTAAGAGGCGACGAGAGTGAAAAAGGGTTAAGATGGCGGTTGTAATATGAGGATGAGGGAGAAGAGAGTGAAAAAGGTTAGGCTAATTCAAACAATTAAGACAATTTTATCTCTTAAAAAAAATTAAGACAATTTTAATTCTTTTTAAAATTGAAAATTTGAGACAACTGGTAATTGAGGGTAAGCAAACTGGTGATAACTTGCACAACAGGTTTGAGTCCCCTCTTTCAAACATTTGAAAGGTGATAACTTACATTTTGGCAAAGTTTGGACCCTTGTATTGTGCTTTACTCCTAAATTTGACACAATTATCAAATTAAATTCTTCTCAAAAATAAGAATAAAATAAAGTATGTAATTTAATACCAGGATTGAGCAATTTTTCATAAAATAAAAGTATACTACTAGTCAACTTCAAACACCCATTTATAAATTTACATCAACAAATTACATTTTTTTATTTGAGTTTTGAGGAAAATCAACAAACTACATTTAGTATGTAATTCAATCGCTTACCAGGGAATGTCGGAGGTCGAAGAATACACAATCGCAGTGGTTAGGGTTTCGAGTGGAAAGAAACCACGATTTGGGTAAAACCAATTACTGCGGGGCATCAACTGATGTTTTCTGTTGGCGATCAGACAAAGATTGGGCACGGGTTGGGCTGCTCAGGGGAGATGTGCTTACGAGTTTAGGTCGGGTTAAAAAAAAAGTCGTGTTGTGTTAATTTCGTGTTACGTTTAAAATTAGAGTAATACATAATACATGGAGAATACATGACTTATCCCTACCCCTTAAAAAATAGTAAGTTGTCAAACATGAAATGAATAGTGTTATGAGTATATAGTAAATGAAAATCACTATTCATAAGGTTGGCAAAAGTTTGAGATACATGTATTTGGGTTGCATTTGCATTTCATTTGGTGAGTCACCAAATTTCCCATTTTTCCTCCCTTCCATTCATTTCCCCTCTCTGTCATATCTCTTTCCCAATTTCATGCTCCTCCATGTATTCTTTATCTCTCTCCTCTTTCATGGTTTAGGTTGGCTTGCCAATTTGCCATGCCCCAGCTTCATTCATTTTTCCTCCAACAATTGGCGGTAGCTTCAGGCCGGAGTTCTCACGGCGGTGGTAGGTTCGATGGTTGTGGTGGTCCAACTTCCATACACAAACTGTTACAGAGTTTTTTTTAAAAAAAACACATATTCATCCCCACCAAAACAAAGCTGTTAAAAAGCAGAATTTGTCTTCATTTTGAAGCGCGTAGAAATAACAGGAGTTCATCAGTGCGAGATCCACTCAAACTTACTGTCATCTCTTTCTCGATCTCTCTGCTTTTTCTAGGTAACTCTTAATTTCCTTTTCTTTTGGTGGATTACTTTCTCATTAATCAATGCTATCATTCAGCTTGTCGATTGCTTTGATTCAACTTGATTGATTTTGCGGTTGATTGATCCCTTCAATTTGGTGATTTCGACTCTTTTATAGTTGTTAAATCGATTTCAAAGGTTGATTATTGAGTAATTATGGGCTAATTTTGCCAAAATCAAGCCAATTTTGCTGGCTAAGGTTTCAATTTGTTGCTGCATTTAAGCAATTTACAAATTAGGGTTTTTGATAACTTCCATTGATGATTAATTCGGCAAAAATTTGAAAGGTATATGAAGATTAATTACCTAGAACTAGGTTTAATCATTTTTTATGAATTTCTACTTATTTTGTAGTTGATGATTTCAGCTTGAAACTGCAACTGTAAGTGGTGTTTTTTTTTTTAAGAATTTTTTTTTTTTGATTTTGATCTGAGCTTTAATAATTGTTTTTTAGTGAAATTTTGTCTCTTAATATAAAATTCTGGGTTTCATCTAATGACTAAATAATGATTTATCTGGTTTTTAAAATAAAATAAAATTATGATTTATCTGTTTGAAGAATGTTGTGATTAATTATGGGTTATTTATTAAGGAGTTATTTGAATTGTTGTGTTCAGGAATCACAATGTGAACATCAATGTATCAATTCAAACTGAGGAATGTTTAAATGTTCCAATTGTCCGGGTATATGATGCCTCAGTCTCACTCCTGCAAGTGCAGCAACAGGACAAGTAGTGGGAATTGTTGTTTCACCTGGTGCGGCCACCACATTGGAGCTGAGGAATCCTGGGGTCAGTGTGAAAGGGAGTTCCCCTGACCCCAGGGAGTAATCAACCCGTTGGAGTGAGCATATCAGAGCAGATGCTTTGGGTCAAGAGTTATCATTTATGCGCACTGTAACATATATGTTGTTCTTATTTTCTGGGTACAGAATGAGAGGGAATTGAAGCGGGAGAGGAGGAAACAATCCAATCAAGAATCTGCAAGAAGATCAAGGTTGAGGAAACAGGTAATGTGATATTTATAGTGTCTTTGATAAAACCAATTGTGAGCATCACTTGAGATTAACTTTGTTTTCATAACGCCTTGCTTATTATATTGCAGACTGAGACTGAGGAACTTGCCAGAAGAGTTGAATCCCTCAATGCTGAAAACTTGGCTCTTAAGTCAGAAATCAACCAACTGGTGGAGAACTCTCAGAAACTCCGTCTTGAAAATGTTGCATTAACGGTATAATTAAATCATATGAACTACTCTTCCTCATCCCTTAATCAAGTCATTGCATAGTTTCTTATAGTCATTGGTCATTGCATATGCAGGGTAAATTAAAAAATTTGTAGTCACAAGGAGAAGATAATGACTTGGCTACTATTGATGCCAAATGTAACCCATCAGACAGCACCAAAACGTAAATTAAAAATAATTTTCACGTATAAAGGATTAGGAGTGTTCAAAGGTTTTCTATTAAAGGGTTTAGCTTTATGCCTTAAATTTGAAAGGTATTTGAAGATTAAATGCCTAGAACTAGGTTTAATATTTTTTGATGAATTTTTACTTATTTTGTAGTTGATGATTTTAGCTTGGAATAAGTGGCTGAGATCTTGTGTGATTGAGTTTATGTGCTTGAGCGTGTGAATTTGAATGGTAAAAAATTCTGAGTTAATGATGATTTACAAGGGAATGGAATAAGTGGCTGAGATCTTATGGGTTTGAGTTTGTGCGCTTTAGTGTATGAATTTGGATGGTAAAATATTCGGAGATAATGATGATTTTGTGTATAAATAAATTGAATAAGGTAATCCTATTTGTTGGTGATGTAATGGAAGGGATCAGTGGGAATTAAAGTTATGTGATTGCATGAAATTTCTAAAGAGGAAAAGATGATCAGTGTTCAGGTCTTAAGGGAATGCGTCTTGTTTGGCATTGAATTAGGGCTGTTGATTTTGTTCGTGTTGTTAGTTTAATTTGTTGGTATTGGTTTTGTTTCTCTTGGATTATTTTCTAGGATTTAATTGTTTTAAAAATTGTCTGATATTTGTAAATAGGATTTGGGTTGCTGATTTTGTGGCTCAAGATAATTACGTGCAATTGGATCAATCAAACCTGTGTTGATTTTATAGGTATGATTTTATTTTAAAATTATTTGTTGTGGTATAGTGTGTAGGATACAATGAGCATGTTTATATTATGTGTTTATTCTAGATTCTTTGTTGAATAGATGCATTGATGCATGTATTATTGTGGTTAGCATCATTTTGATCTGTATTTGTTTTCTTTGCTTTGCGCTAATTTAGAATCATATATTTATTTTTATACTGACTGTGTTGGGCTTGAAAAACCAGTTTATGTGATTGATGATTTTGCTCTGACTTTGCTCTGTCCATTGGAAAGTTTATGGAGGCTTCTCAATCTACTCTCTGTCTTAGGCTATTCATCTTTGTTAAAGTTTAAGTTTAAGGCTTCTCAATCTACTCTCTGTCTTAGGCTATCCAAGTACTAAAAAAAACAACCTCCAATTCGCCTTGAATTTCAAAATTATAGAATTTGAAGTAGAGATTGAGTTATATTGACTTGAAGTTGATCGGGTACAATTTGGTGTTACCCTTAAGATATTAAGTCCAAATCAGGTCTGCTTTTCTACAGTCAATTGTATTTAACTGTTTTCTATTTAGTGACGGCTATGAGTCCAATGTTAGTAGGGGTTGGAAGGGGTTGTTTTTTAAAAACTAATTGGACTAATGAATGAACCCCCACTTCCTCCCTAGGGGTAAGAAGACAATGTGATAATTTGTTAAAATATTGGCTCTTCAGTTTACATGTGGCCTGCAGTATGTAATGTGAGCTCTCTCTTAAGTTTCAAAAATTTGAAGGCATATATTACACCGTGGTTTGAAATGCAACCAGGCTAGAAACCAATTTTGCAATTTATCGCCACAAATCATTCTCCGTTAGGGAATATTAAATTAACAACAAAAACCATTACCTCCATGACTTTAGATGTAGTAATAAAAATGGAAATTATGTAGAAGTTCCCAAATTACTCTGGGAAATTCAGCTATTACAGTTGATAAATATATCCTCCCTAGGGGTAAGAAGACAATGTGATAAATTGTTAAAATATTGGCTCTTCAGTTTACATGTGGCCTGCAGTATGTAATGTGAGCTCTCTCTTAATTTTCAAAAATTTGAAGGCATATATTACACCGTGGTTTGAAATGCAACCAGGCTAGAAACTAATTTTGCAATTTATCGCCACAAATCATTCTCCGTTAGGGAATATTAAATTAACAACAAAAACCATTACCCCCATGACTTTAGATGTAGTAATAAAAATGGAAATTCTGTAGAAGTTCCCAAATTACTCTGGGAAATTCAGCTACTACAGTTGATAAATATATACATGATCGAATTTCTTAGTATATGCCTATAACTTTGTTTCATGTTATTGTTGATCAGGATGAAACTTCTGAAGAGATTGGAGAGAAGCTATAATCTACTGGGAGTAAACATGACCTTTTTCTCTATGGATACGCTGTTAGTTTTTTGCATTACAATTGCTCTCAAAGGACTCCGGATGTTGCTGATATGGACCTGATAACTGAGGTTTGTTTGGATTTTCATTGATATGCTGATTCATACATGATTTTGGTGATGTTGGGAATGACATCTGCTATCTGTTTCTGACCATGGGTTTCTTTGTTTAATTAAATGACCTGTCAACATGTTGGTTTCCAATTTGGAGAATGTATACCCTTTTTCTTTTTAATTTTAGGTTCTGGGATTTTTGGGAAAAATACAAGAAACTTGATTTGGGTTGTATAATTTGGATCATTGATTACAAATAACAGCAAAAAAAAATTTTGGCTCTATAAAAATGTATGCTTTATTATGAGAATGATGCCCTTGATCTCGAGTATATATGTTGCTGCTATTATATGTATATGCAGGAACTCTTGAGCCTAGACCTAGATTGATTAGGGCTAACAATTTCCTAGAGTGTAGTGTTAGGCTATTAATCAAGAATTGAGTAGAGATCAAGTGATTGAACCCTGTGGTTGCCATCAATTCACAACTTAGGTCGTCCTGGGTTTAAGGCTCCTTTCCTCCTAAACCTAGAAATTATTCCTCAATAGCCACCTTCTGCCGGCCACCTTTAGATAGGGATTGAGTGAGGGGATAATTGTGCACCTAACGTGGAAAAACAGTACTATGATATCAGATGCTGCATAGTTTGTTCAAGTGTGCTGAATTTACTTCTTATGACCTCAGCAGCTTCATCAAAATCATGACTGCTATTCTAATGATTTTGAAGTTTTATACTTTTATGCTCAAGCTTTGTTATGACATACATTGCCATTTCTTCTAGAAATTGTCTATTTGCCAAACCAATTAGGCAATTAATAAGGATAGAAATAGTTACCTTAGTGTTAGACAATTAGTACAACTTATTCTTTTTATTGATTGTCAGGCAGCAGAATTGTAGAGTGGTTTGTATCCTAAAAGGTAATAAACTAATAAATACAGCTAATATGTAGATAATGTCCTGATTTATCGATTATTGAGTAACTAAATTGTATGGTATGTTTGTTAATAAGAGATGCAAACCCCACTGCAATTTTTGTTACAAAGGTAAATGATATCATTGAATGTTTATTTAGGAGATTTTGTCTGTTTTGTTGACCGCATCTTTGTTAAGGGATTAAATTAATGTGACCACATCTTTGTTAAGGGATTGAATTAATGTCAACTGACATCCTTTTAGATTGTCTGTAGCCTCACTCAGCAGACAACCATGCTTTAGCAAGACTGCAAGAGAGTGTGAAGATCTCAAACTTGACATATTGTATATTGGTTCTTGTGCTGGTGGAGAGACGATATTTTCTGGATGCAGCCAGAGTCTTTATTGCCTCTGTAAGTCTTCATGGGCTCTTTAAAGTTAAATTATAATTGTAATGTTACATGCTTCTTTCAGTTATTTGGGTTTTATTTACTGGCTCCTTCATTATTCAATGGTTTCATAGAAAAAGAGGGAATTTACTAAGTCGAGACATTAAGGGGAGTTTTTAAAATATGTTTCCATGTTAATTCTTTGTATTTAGAGTGATCTTATAGATTTTCTCCCTATACATGTCAAGTTTTTCGTAAGAAGTCATCTAGGTTGATCAAGTTATCTTTCTTGAATGAATTTAGCTGAATACTATTGAATTAATTGAATAATACGAATGCGTAGAATCAGACTGCTGCAATTAAATTGCAAAAGCAAAAAATTGGGGTTTATAAAGCTGATCATAGTCAACTTTCTTTAATAAGTAAAATAAACTGTAGTGATTTTGAGTTGTCTGTGGGTGAAGCTGTGAAGGAGTAGTAGCTTTACTTGAGGCAATGTTTGAATAACATTTTTTTTAGGCATGGATCAAGGTATTTATTAGCTGTTAGAAAGAAATCAAATGTTTTTCTTCCATTGCATTATGTCAGTATTCTTAATAGTCTAATAAACAGATTGACAAATCAACACACTTTGTTTATTAGTGATTATGTGTACTTTGTCTTAGTTAAGTAGTGAAGTTCAATTTTCTCCAATGAATTTCCCCTGCGCAACATTCTAAGCCTTTGAGAATTCCCCTGTATTAATATGGACTACTTACCTGTCTATTAGAAATATTCTGATTATCAGTGGTTATTCTGCAAGTCTAGCTACTGCCTTTTGCATGTTTAGTTGTCCTATTGGTTTTCTAAACAATCATTCTGCTTATAATGAGCTCATTGTTGACATATGATATATTCCCCTTGATTTCTTTTGGTGGTTAATTCCTTATAAATTATTAACTTTGTGTGGATTATCTGTGCAGGGTTCTTCATTTTCCAGTTAGTCGAATTCACCATCACCTTAAGTCAAGAGCCTCAGCCAATGGTCGTGTAGGTGCAACTGCTGCTGTCGACTCTGCAGCGATACTTGAGTACCTAACTGCATAAGTTCTCAAGCTAGCAGGAAATGCAAGCAAATATTTAAAAGTGAAGAGGATGACTCCAAGGCATCTGCAACTTGCTATTCGAGGGGATGAGGAGCTCGATACCCTCATCAAGGGGACCATTGCTGGTGGCGGTGTTATCCCTCACATTCACAAGTCATTGATTAACAAATCATCTAAGATTTAAGGGTTCTTTATTTGATAATTTAGGATGTAGAATAAAGTATATGTGGGATTGTTCCATAATAAGCAATTTCAGCTGTAATATCTTTCTGCCGAATCTCTAGGATTTCTAAGTGTGATATTTTATCAGCTATTTAGGTTTAGGTGCTTGTCAATTTACTTCATTCTGGTCTCTCTGTGCAGATCTAACTAAATTTGTCTTGTAACATGTGTTTGTTTGATGACTTAATTAAGTTTATTGCTTGATTAAACCAGTGAAATTTCAATTGCAAATTGAGCATGGATTATTTCGTTTCGTACATGTGCACATCCAATTCTTTTGATGACATCAACAATATAGCTTCATGGTAGTGTGGTACTAATCTATTCACAAGTTCACAACAATAGCAACTTAATTTTAGCACTATAACGGTAGCAACTTAATTTTAGCACAAGTCCTATTTGCCTCTCTTTGTAAGATTTTATAATGTTTTCTTAATTTCTATACTCCCACTATATAATGTCGTGGGCTATGTAACCTCTAATATATAATATATAATGTGATTATTTTAGTTTACTTTTTTGAGGAAAATCATTCACTTTTTTTTTATTCATTCCTACTTGTGTTCATATTGATACGTGTATATTAACATGAAATTAAGAAAAACGAATTTCATCCTCACTTAAATTAATTTTGACTTTCTCATGATTCCTCTACATTAAATAATTCTCACTTGTAAAAGGATTAGGAGTGTTCAAAGGTTTTCTATTAAAGGATTTGGCTTTATGCCTTAAATTTAAATTAGCTAATTCAAAGGTTGGCTTTAATTTCTTAATTGAGGGCTAAAAATTAGGGTGTTGTTGTTTCGGCATTTCTGATAAATGTGATACCTTGCAAAGATTGATATTATAGTCATTGATAGTCATAGCATTTGAACATGTTGGAATTGTGCATTTGTTGTATGATTGATTTAGTTAATCATTAGATAAACAACTAATTATAAATGTCTAATTTTGAATGTAGATTGTAGATTGGTTTTAGCTTTAAATTAGTTTTATACTACTTGACCCCCGTTTGTAATATTGGAGTATTGAAACTTTTAGTGCCGCTTTAAGAACTCTATGAACTATTTTCTTTGTTAAACCATAACCAAAAAAACATAAGACAACGAGTGGAGTGAAAATAAGAGTTTGAGAGAGATTTGCGGAGACAAGTAGACAACAATGAGTTTTAGGGAAGAGGGGAAGAAGAGTGGTACAATGAAGGAGGGACCAACTACGAAGGGATTACTAAAAATTACAAAAATCGAAGAATATGAGTAGGGAGAGAAATGGAGTGAGAAAACAAGGACTGGAAAGATACATAGATTGATGGATATCAAGTAGAAAGAGGCCTTCTAAAATTCACATCCATATAAAAACGAGTTACACAAGGAGATATAGCCTCTAGGGGAAATGGAAATGAGAAGGGATAAGGAGAGGGGAGAAGGAGGGAGCGAGTAAGAAGGGTAGAAATTATAAAAACCAAAAATATGTGTTGGGAGAGAGAAAGGAAATGAGAAAACAAGGCTTGAAAAGATAAATAAAAAGATTGATAGATTTTAAGTAGAAAAGGCCTTCTAAAATTCACGATCCATAAAAAAAAAAAAAAAAAAAACCGGTAACACAAGGAGATAGAGCCTATAGAGGAAAATAAATGAGAAGGGGAGAGAAAAAGGGGGGTGTAGCAAGTAATACAATAATTTCTAAAATTTGCAAAATCGTAAAAGTCAAAAGTGAGACTCTGTGGATGATTTTCTTTGTTGAAATATACCTTTAATATAAGACATAAAATTTGTAATAGAAAATCATAAAAGACAACTGGAATGAAAAGAAGAGTTTAAAAGAGTTATATGTTGAGATAGCAGTAAGTTTAAGTGAAGGAGGGAGGAAAGAAAGTGGTACGTACACCGAAGGACGGAGCAAGTAGGTAGAAACTTACTCAATTTTTTTTTTTAAAAAAAGAAACATAAAATATGACTGAGGTAACATAGAAAGGGAGTGAAAAAATAAGGGCTTTGGAAAGATTAATAAATATTTTGATGGTTAGCAAAATAGGAAGAGGCCTTCTAAAATTCTCAATTTGTAAAATGAGTAATAGAAGGAAATAGAGCCCATATAGGAAAAGGAAGTGAGAAGGGAAAGGGGGGGGGGGGGGAAAAGGAAAAGAAAAGTGGTACAATGAGGGAGTGAGCAAGTAGGTATATATATACTTACTAAAAATTCCAAAAATCATAAAATATGAGTAAGGTCAAATCGAAAGGCGGTGAAAGAATGAGGGTTTGGAAAGTTAATAGATAAATTGATGGTTAGCAAGTAAGAATTGTCCTAAAGTTCACAATACATAAGAATGAGTAACAAAAGCAGATAGAGCCCATAAAGAAAAGGAAGTGAGAAAAAAAGGGCCTAGAAAGATAAATAGATAGATTGATGGATATCAAAGTAGAAATAGGTTTTCTAAAATTCACGATTTAAAAAAAAGGAGTAACAGAAAGTGATAGAACTCGTAAAGGAAAAGAAAATAAGAAGGGTGGAGTAGCAAGTAATATAATACTTTCTCAAATTTGTAAAATCATAAACGTCAATTGAGAACTGTATGCATGAGTTTTTTTATTGAAACATACCTTTATTAAGACATAAAAGTTGTGTTAAAAACTTATAAAAGACAGGTGAAGTGAAAAGAAGAAAAAAAAAAGAGAGATATCTAGGGAGATATAAGTGAGTTTTAGTGAAAAGGGGAGGAAAGGAAGGAAAGTGATACAGCGAGAGAAGGAGCAAGTATGTAGAGACTTACTAAAAATTACAAAGCCATAAAATATGAGTGAGGCAAAATAGATAGAGAGTGAAAAAATAAGGGTTTGAAAAGATTAATAGATAAATTGATGGATAGAAAGTAGGAAGAGGCCTTTTAAAATTCACAATTCGTACAAATGAGTAACAGGAGGAGATAGAGCACATATAGGAAAAGGAATTGAGGAGGTAGGAGGGGGGAGAGGAAAAGGAAAGTGGTACACTAAGGGAAGAAAAAATTCTAAAAATCGTAAAGTATGAGTGAAGTAAAATAGAAAGAAAGTGTGAAAATGAGAGCTTGGAATGATTAATTGATAAATTAATGCATAGCAAGTAGAAAGAGGCCTTCTAAAATTCACAATACATAAAAGTGAGTAACACAAGATGATATATCCCATAGAGGAAAAAGAAGTGAGAAAACAAGGGCTTGAAAATATATATTGATAGATTGATGGACATCAAGTAGAAAGAGGTCTTCTAAAATTCAAGATCCATATAAAAAACGAGTAATGCATATAGATAGAGCCTATAAATTAAGAGGAAAAAGAATTATAAATCTTACAAATTGATGCAACAAAATAGTTAGCGCTACAGCACATCAAATCACCCAAATCATACCGCCAAGCAAAATAACGTTGGCTATTGAATGCAATAGGTTTTTATATGCGTTTAGTGAGTGTGTTACTCATAAGACAAAATTTGTGATTAAAAATCAGTTTTACTAATATACAAGTAGGTTAGAGAAATATATATTTATTAATTTAGGTATAACGGAATTATATAGTTTGCTATGTTATTCAAAAAAGAAAACTAGGTCAGTAGGTCACTAATTTGAGTAAAGATTGATTTACTTATTAGAAACAAGATTTTAATAACAAGTGAACAACAAATACGATCTATTTCCTTTCCAACACTAATCAACGAAACACACAACCCATGATGCCAAACAATATACACGCTGGACTATCGCACGCATCGCGTGCGAGAGGACTACTAGTATATTAAAATTGGATTACTTGTCAAGTAAATTATAAACGGATTAACATGTTAGTCGTCGTGTAGTGCTCGAGTAAAGATTGTGCTAAATTTTAAAAATGTTGATTATGCATGACTCGTATGCCGCCAACTTGTCTTTGGTTTTGTGTTGGGTTATTTTTGTGTTGCACATTACCTCCCTAACCCATGTTAAGCTAAGAGTTTTGGAGAGTACGGAGACATTATCATTTCTCATGAACGAGAATACGAGATTATACAAATGTTATTGTGTAGCCTATTACAAAGTATGTTTTGTGCTAGACCCACGAAGGTGGGAGCTCACTTTTACAAGTAGTGGTTTTAACATCGATTGTGCTCGAGGTGACGAGGTCCCATGTGACTAACCTATGCACAATGCACCTCAACCAAATTTCGTACGAAGAATGTAAACGTATAATTAATTAATTGTAATGCACTTTATCGTGTAATGTTTTTTTTTGAAAAATAAAATAACATTAAGGGTAATTCTCAATGGGTGACCCTATATTTTTGAGACACTAAAAAATGGTTATCCTCTTTAATTCATTATACATTAAGGGGCCGTTTGGTTGGGGGTAATCAGGAAAGGGAATGGGAATCAACTGGCCCCATTCCCTTTGTTGATGTTTATTTAGCACTTTTAATCATTCCCATTACCCCAATTCCTTCCAACTCCATTCCCCACCCCCTAGACTTTCCCATTCCCTTTCCCTACCCACCTTCACACCACCCCATCACCACCTTCACACCTACCAACACCATCGGAAAACCAGCCCGACCACCGCCGCCCCTACCCCGACCACCGCCGCCACTACCCCGACCACCGCCACCCCTCCCCCAAGCCTCGCCGCCCTCCCCTCCCACGCAAAAACCACCCCTAGCCCCGATCTCTCTCCCACCACCCGCAAAACCCTAGCCACCCCTTCCCCTCCCCTCGCCGCCCACCGATAAACGCGCGCCGCTCAAAACCCCCTCCCCTCGCCGCCCAAAAACCCCTCCCCTACCTCGAAAAACCTCCGAAAACCCTAAGGGAGGTTTTTCGAGGGTGAGATTCATTGTTTTGGGCCCAGCGAGTGGTGGGGGAGAGTTTACGAAGGGCGGCGAGGGGAGAGGGAGGGCCGGCGAGGGGTTTCGTGGCTGGGAATGATGAAAACCATATGAATTGTGTGGTGGTGTGGTGGCTGTGGTGGTGGTGGCTGTGGTGGTGTGGTGGTGGGATTGATTCCCTTGTTTTAAAAACAAACAACAAAGCAAAAAAAGGGTATTTTCATTCCATTCTTCTTCTTTCCCTTTGTTCATTCCATTCCGATTCCCTCGTGCGAACGAAACGACCCCTAAGAATTTTTCTAAAATTAAACAACCATTAATTTTTTATTGAAAAATAAATCAAGTGCAAAACTAGGCTAAGAAAGGTGATAAATTTGAATTTGAAGTGATTTACTCCTTACTAATCTATTATACCCATCATAGCCATC